CATGGGGATCTCACGCGACTCCCGGCACAAGCACTACAAGACCGGAGGCCGCAGCAATGTCTCCATCAAGAAGCGCAAGTATGAGATGGGCCGGCCAGCGACGCCCTGCAAGCTGGGCAACAAGCGCGTGCGCGTGGTGCGCTGCCGCGGTGGCAACAAGAAGTACCGCGCCCTGAGGCTAGACACAGGAAACTATGCGTGGGGCTCCGAGAATGTGACGAAGAAGGTTAGGATCTTGGATGTGGTCTACAATGCGACCAGCAACGAGTTGGTGCGAACGAAGACTCTTCTGAAAAACACCGTCGTGCAGATCGATGCTCACCCGTTCATGCAGTGGTACCAGAAGAAGTATGGCATGGACCTCGGCAAGAAGAAGAAGGGTGGCGAGAAGAAGGAGGAGAAGAAGGAGGAGGCAGAGGAACACAAAAGCCGACATGTTATTGCGAAGCAGAAGGCCCGTGCTGCCAACCAGAAGCTTGACCTCAACCTGGAGGAGCAGTTCCAGAGTGGACGCCTTCTGGCCTGCATCGCCTCCCGTCCAGGCCAGTGCGGCCGCGCGGACGGTTACGTGCTCGAGGGCGAGGAGCTGAGCTTCTACAGGCGCAAGCTCGAGAAGAAGAAGAAGAACTGAGGTTCAGCCAGTTTCTCAGTTCTCACCGAGGCCGCACACGGCGTGCACAGACAACCAAGGGCATCCCCAAAAAGGATGGAGTGGCTGCGCGGCTCATTCTCGACGCTCACGAGTACTGTGTACATTGCGAAAAGCCGCAGTCGTTGACCTGTAGTTTCGGCCCCTGCCTTCGAGTCTTTCGTGTAGTCCCGTCTTTTTCAAGTCAGCTGACTTTGTCTTAGTCTTATCATACAGAGAACTGCGCGTGTTTAAATTTCTACACTGAGCAGAAGAGCATGCGACGGCCACAAGTGCCTCCAGAGCATGGCTTCACCAACAAGCCCGAGCTACCGCTCTGAATTTCGAGCGCTGAGGCTGGTAGCTTGGCATAGGAATAGAGCTCTGATCCAGGCATCGGCTGCACAAGCCGAGGGCTACCTACCCCCTAGCAGCTTGGGGTTTCAGCGCTGTTTGTCGGCGAGCGCCTCGTGACCTGGTGTTTCCATGCCAGGCAGGCGCTGTTGCAGCTGCGCGAGGAGAGCTCATTCTCGTGGTTGGGGAGTGAGTGTGAGGCGGAGGCTTGTCGCGGCTCTCGTCAGGAGCAGGGGGCACTGCTGGAGTGCCTCTTCGACCAGCGCCTGCTACGTCCCGAGACCTTTGCCGCCTCCTTGCACAGGCCGATGAGCTGTCCCCGTGTAGCTGCACGGAAGCCAGCTGCAGCTTTGAAACTCTGCGAAGGCGCCGCTTCGAGGCTGCGCTGCTGCGGGCTCCCTGCAGATTCGAGGCAACGCTGCGGGATGTGCTGGAGGACATGGACATGCGGCGCCATGGAATAGTTCTCACCCGTCGCTGCTTCCGACATGAGGAGCCAACTCACCTAGCCGTGCAGACAGCCCGCTTCGCTGGCCACAAGGGGCTCCAATCTCTGAAGGACACCTGCCCGAGTCTATTGAGCCTGCTACTGTACAAGCACTACCCATCAATCTATGTTTTCTGTCCTAGACTCTACATCCTTTGATGTGCTTATCCCTCGATGTGTTTGTCTAGCTAGATACGGTCACAGAGGCTATCTACCTAAGATGTCTCTTCGTGTGCGCATCTGTCTCTCCACCTGTCGACTGCAAGATTACACGCAGAAACTGCACTTGCGATGCAAATGACAGTCGCTCAGACTTAGGTACATGTTGAGAGTTGAGAGTAGTTTCAGTCTAGTGGTACTCAGTAGAACAGCGACGATGCAGGTGCTTGGGGGTGGATGGTGACGAGTAGAACAATGAATAATGATTCTCGTGATGCTTGTGACGGTGACGGTGACGGTGGTTGAGGTGGTTGGGGTGGTAATGAGATCCATTGCCACCAAATGGCGACGATAATCCGATACGGACGAGGTCATAGAAAGGCGCAAGACCTCTGAGTGGCTGAGGCTTGGTTTCAAGTCGATCAACGGCTTACCTCGTTCTGGGTGGAGTCTTGCTGGGCAAGAAATGGCTTCGTGAACGAATGTTGGCATGTCGCCAATTGTACGGAGACATGTAGTGAAACGTTGGACAACGCAGACGTTTCACAGTCGCTCGCCGGTGCCAGGCAACCTGCCGGTCCCTGGCAGAAAAGCTTGCTGGCAATGCTTTCGCCTTGCAGGCCACGATCCGGCAGGGGAATGCCAGGGTAGGAAGGAAATGGAGGAGAGCCAGCCAGCTGCTGTGGTGCGAGTAGCAGATGTCGCGTTCATTCCAACATATCCACGGCCCCAACAGCAGAGATTCTCGCAACGCTTCTGCGGGATCGCAGCAAAGATGCATGCCCGAAAGCAGATCCTGGTGCCACACATCAGGCCCCAGCACAAGGGGTCGTCTGCAGCCAGGATGCCCTGACCTGGCTCTTCGTGGTCGGCGGGAGCGACCATATGGAGGCACCTGGTACAAGTCCTGCTTGCTTCGTGACCTCTCCGGGAGAGGTGCGTCGATCGGGGGAGCGGCTCGATCCATCCACAGGGCTGTGGGAGGCAGGGCAAAGCTGGGAATTTCAAAGCAGCTCATGGGGTTTGCTCAACGGGGGTGCAGCGTGCACACAGTCGCAGCACCGACTCCCTCCGCTGCTCCGAAAAAATAAAAAAGAGGCGCTCCCGGCCATGCAGCAGCGCCGCTTCGCGGCCTCCTCGGCCGTCCTCGGAGGTTGTCTGCCACGGGCTCGGCCCAATACTCCGCTATAAAGTTCTTTGTAGATGTTTGAGAGCTTTGCCTCGCGCTTTTCAGCGTCGGAGCTGTGCTTTTGCGGCTTCAGACACGGATGCAGTAATGTGGGGTTCCTGCTCTGTTGCCGCAAGGTATGTCTGCGGCGGTTCCGAGCAGCACGGGGCATTGAACACCGCCGAGCGCTTCGACCCATGCACAGGCCGGATTATTGCCAGGACGCTGCGAAAAGCAAGGTGGATTGAGGAGGCAATCGGGCTGGGGCAGTGAGTTCTTGCTGTTGACTTCGTGCCCTGGTACCGTTGTAATGCAATGCAATGTGCCTGTTGCTTAAACTGCAGGTCCACTGCTGAGCGATGTACACAGGTCTGATTAGTTCTAATTACACAGGAGGCTTCTGTCTACTCAGTGCACAGCGGTGGAGCCCTCGCCTGATTTAACTGTCTCCCTGCTATTCAGGGCTCTGGGAACAGCTGCCCGCCATGACGTGGCCCCGAATCCATGCAGCCGCGCTGGCAGCACAGGGACGGCTCTACCTTTGCGGAGGCTCCGAGATATCTCGGATGCTTGCGATTGCATGTCAGAGCTGTGAGAGATTGTGATGCAACATGCCTGCACTTTCAAGTCCAGACGTGCCAGAGGCGACGAGATGTGAAGAGCAAATCCTCAGGCGTTACATGAGTACTTCCTGTCCGGAGGCCATGGACCGAGCTCGCAAAGCGGCCAGTTTGAGCCGCTTGCCATTAAACTTATTGCCGCGGGGACATACACGGACACTTCCGGAATGGGTCAGAAAACCCTAAGCCACGTTCAGGGTCCCCTGGAGACGTAAAGTTGCGATTTGAGCGCTGCGATTAATCAGCAGCTGAAGCACTCGAGATTCAAGCACGCCTGGTTTTCGAGCTCTTCCGATTCAATCACCTATCCCGATTCAGCCACGCGTGATTCAAGCAAAGGTCCAATTAAGGACTCGAGAGAGAGCTTCAGAGCTTGAAATTTCAATGCTTAGACTCTATGGTGTTCGTTTTGTTTAGATGTTTGCTGTATCAACAGTGGATCTGGCTGTTTGAACATGCCGATCCCCCATAGCCGGCAATCCCTCGAATCGCCGGATTTCCTTTTGACGAATGTTACAGGGCTGTATAGAGAATGTTGTTCCTGAATCCGTGCGAATCTGCGGGTGTGAATCTGTCGTTCAGTTCACGACTCGGGCTTTTCCAGTGCTGGAATGGGTCTTTCTAGTTACGCGATCGGCCTGCTAGGCCCCCCCGGCATTGAAATGCCAGCCAAGGTCCCTGAGTGCAGTTGAACGATTCGATCCAGATCGGGAGGCACCCCTCCGGCTTTTGTGCATGTGTGGGTTCTTAGGCTCGCCAGTGTAGGTGCCAAACGTAAATGTCCGAAGCTGCCCTTTCGACCAGCCAAGATGCCCAAACCCAAAAGTACTCGAGAGAGCGTCTCGGGAGTTATGTCCTCCTCGGAATTCCTTTCAAGTGCAGGTTTGGGAGGCCTTGCCAGAACTGTCGGTTCCTCAGCAATCGCCCTCGCCCGGTTGCGTGCGAATCGTGGGCAAAACGTCGTCCTGTCATGGGTTTCTCTTGTTGTCCCAGCCGGTCGGAAGGCCGCAACGACGGATGGCCGGCACTGCGGCCTGGCTTCGGGGTGCCGTGCACATCGTGGGTGGCTCAGACGGCCAGGAGGCTGGAGGGTAAGGGACATGCCATGCCATACTGCCGGGACATGGCCTTTTCCCATGGTTTTGCGGGAGTCGGCTGGAGCATTGCAGGCTCTCAGTGCCATGGAAAGGCTGGTCGAAAACGGGTTCGGACTCTTGGACCTGATTTGGAAAGCCTCATACGTACTGGAGAGGTGGACATGCCGAAGCGAGTGCGATTACACTCTATGAGATTCCTGCTTGGCTGCGCTTCTATATATGACTTGCTTCGAGACCTCCTTTCTAGTCTGCAGCTTCTCGATGAAGCCACGGCGCCTGACGGTCAGGTTTCTATGGTTCTGTTTTGTTTCGGTTGGATGCAAGTCTGATTTCTGATTGACATCCGAGGACCGTGCTGGCAGGCCAGCAAGAGTACGTGACCTTTACTTGCCGTGATGGGAGTTTGCCGTCGAACAGGCCCTGCCGCCCATGTCACAGCCAAGATTTTGGGCCACATCTGCAGTGCTCAACGACTCGCTGCTGGCGGCGATCTCAACAACACATCTATCCGTGACTGGGCAGATGCTCAAGCAGCCCAGGTCTGCTCGGGCAACGATGGGCAGCAGGCTTCCAATCGCTGAGCGCTATTCTGGGCCCTGCCGCTTCCTGCGAAGGCGTTGCTGTCCACAGAGAGGTTTGATCCTGTTGCATGCGCCCGGCTCTCACATGGTCTCAGAGTTAGGTAACATCTTTTCAAGTCAGCCCTGGCGGTGAGCAAAAGCTTGTCATCACACACTTTCGTCCATAGTGGCGATGAGTTCTGTGAGGTCTGGGAGTGTCTACAGCCGATGCTGAGGCCCTGCTGCACAAATATGCATTTGTTGGAAGAATCTCGGAATGCGGGGGACAGGTTGGCTTCCGGATCATAGTTACATGCCATCCAGTGCCCAACAGGGGCAGATGATGTTGGGACCTTTTGCTTTCTGACTCGGGCAGGCGCCGGACCGGGGCCGCCTCCGCTGTCTTGGCGGGGCAGCTCTTCCTCGTCGGAGGCCGCGAGCCCAGACTCAGACCTGGGCGTCTGCCATCTTCTTTCCTTTACCAGGGACCAGAGTCTCCAGCCTCACCGAGGATTTTCGCGAACTCTTCAAATGCTCGAAAGCAGTTTCGGCCACAAGATTGTGTCGCAGGTCATGATGAGCACGGGGTGCACCAGACGGCAGAGTTCTACGATTCCGAGCTTGGCAAGTGGCAGGCCGTGAGAAGTGCTCAGCACTGAACTTCGGAATGAACCTCTTGCATTTCCACATGCTCTAACGTAAGGAGTCGGTGTGGATGTCTTATTGCGACCTCCACGAAGTTTTCACGGTTTCACTAGAATGGTCTTAAAGGAAGCTGCCCCAATGCTCCAGCGTCGCTCCGGCGCCACCGCAACTGCTCGCCGACAGCATGATGATTCAGTCGTTCTCAAGGGTTGTGTCGGTTGTGCTTCGCGAAACTTAGCTGTGTGGGCACAGCCCTAGATTGTTGTCTAAGCAATGACTTTGCAGTGCAGTGCAGCCAAACACAGGTTCCAAACAGATTAGAGATGGTTAGAGTCAGTTGCACGACAGCACCATATCTGCACAGATGCTTAAGGTGCTGGCCCGATGCCTGCTGGTGTGTGGAGGAAACGACGGCAGCCAGGCACTTCGTCTTTGAGCTGTTGCAGGCACTTGCGGTGATTGGTGATCAGCCGGCTAGCTTCATACGCACCCTCTTCTGTCTAATGCAATCTGGAGAAAGTCTCTTCCATAAATCTGCCTCTTCCCGACCTCGAGGTGTTGAACACTGTAGAAGTCCTCGATCCCGTGGAGCATGTTTGGCCAGCACCTGAGAGACTACTGCCGGCCCCTGTCATTGAATCGCTGCTCTATTGACGGCCACACCTCAAAATGTTTGACACGCATGAGCAAGCCACATGTTCTTTGGGTCTACTTGCTGCTCTTGGCAGCCAGCGATTCGACAAGTCACAGCTTAACTGCGAAGTGTTGTTTGAACGCAGGATCTGCTTTCTTGGAATCTCAAGTAAGACATGTCCAGAAGCCGAATGTCTTGAGATGAGAAAGCTCAGGCGTGCCATGCAACCAATGGCCCGCAGCCGCGCAGGCGCTTTCGCCACGGCCGGCGCCTTTTGGAGAATGGCATGCATGCACTGAAGTGCCACGAGATGTCTTCCGGTTGCTGTATGAGGACATCGCAAGCTCAGTGGACGCAATTCGTTCGGTTCGGTAACTAGGATTTCTTCTGCCGGCTGGCCGTCTGCCACGAGGCTACTCTGTTATAAAGAAGGATCGTCTCAGAGCTTATGGGCAAGGCTGCAGCCTCTACGGAAATTCCTAAACTGCTTGCAAGGCGTTGATGATCTAGACTCGGAGTGAATTGAGAGGCGACTATATTTTAAGGAAGCCTGACGAAAGTCATGCACTTCCCTGTTGTCCTTCAGTAGGCACAAGATCACTAAAATCTTGCTTTTGCCAGTGGCGCTTGCAGTGCAACCTGCCTCTGCGCATCTTTTTCTGCGAGATTTCCGAATCAGGGCTTTCGAATTTCTGTGCATAGGTGGCAGCATGCCATGCGATACGAAGGACCGGCCAAAGTCGTCTGTCGATCGTGCGCACTCATGGATGCTGCTCATGATGCGGTGATCGCCGTAACTTCTGCAGGATCGCGTATGCGGAGATAAAACACTGGCACCGGTTTCATCATCCCATGCTCGCTTAAATTGAACGGTTCTATAGTATTAATTTTGAGGTCCGTATTGGCGATAATTATTATAAGATGGATAGGAGAAATAGATTGCCGAATCGACAAAATAACAGATATAAGGGAACAGAAGGGCCTGTTATGGGGTCTGGGTTTTTGTACACCACACTTTCGCATACTTTTCAGTAGTATTGGTCGTTTAGGCCTGCTTTGTATGTTTCGGAAGGCCTTCCTTGCAAAAAAATACTTGTGAACCCTAAATAATCTTTAATAAAACTAGACAAATAAAAAAAACCGAAAAAATCGAAAAAACTAAACAAACAAAAAAACCAAGGATTTCCGCACTAGTCTGAAGGATTCCGACTAGTGAAAATGATACTCGGTGCCAGGGTTATCTCGTATTGAGTGGGTGTTTTACATATCTGTAAGGCGTCTACTTCGGGGAACATATTGTCGACGTTATATTTTCTCATAAAGCTCTTCATATTCTTCGGCGTCTATAACACGCTCTCGCATCTGTCGGTGTTAGTGCGCGTGTGCGCCCGTATCTTCGCACGAGTGTGTTCTTGTATATGGCAGATTTGTGAGCTGTGTATGGTTTAGAAGCCTTTATAATAGCTGACGATTGGAATACTCCAAATCGTAGCGTCTTTATGGTAAATACACTGATTTCTTATCTTGGAATATTTCTAAATCTAATATATATCTTAGCGTCCGTAATAAATTCCGCATTTTGGCTTAGCTGCTTCGTGTTTCTTGAAATTAGCGTCTATATGAGGTTTAGTTAGTTTTGATATATAATTTCCTGGCTGATGAGTTTTCTTCCTAAAGCAGCGTCTGCCGGCATTGAAATATATTCTTTCCAACTGATATGAGATAACCTCAACGTTTAGTAGGTTTATTTGATTTGTTTTTTGTTGTTTTTTGATTTGTTTGTTTTTTGTTTTTTTTATTTATTTGATTTGTTTGGTGTTTGGTAGCTTATAAATAGGCTTTCTACTTATAAATATTGTTGCTTCTTATAAGTAATATTTTTCTATTTATAAGCACTTGGAGAGACCATATGAATAATTAGTCTAACCCAATTCACGCGCGTTAAAATGAAGAATATGAATACCGCCCCTAATTACATAAATTTTATTGGAAATTGCGTTGTATCTTGGTCTATTCTCTATGGAAGAGCATGTCGAATTTACGTAGCGTTTCTTTTGTCTTTCCGGTTTCTTCTGTCGGAAATATAAATATATATGACTATCTTTCTCTGTTTATGAATATAGATTTTTGTAGGAAAAGTGAGCAATTTATGGGAAGATTGAGTCTACGAAGATTTTAAAGATATATGGAGATATGAAGATAGTCGTAAAAATAAGAAACTTGTCTGGGTCATTTAGATCTTGGAGACTTTACATATTTTGATATTCTCTATTTTATATTTTAGATGTCGTCATACTATATCATAGAATAGATAGATATAAGATACCAGGAAATATGGTCTTGATATATCATCTATATCTACGGACATATTATAGATATAGATATGGATATAATATCTCACTATCTTCGAGCGATATATCTATCTATCTATTTATCTATCTATCCATCAATCTATATTTGCATATATATATATTGGTCTAAGCGTGGATGATGCCGCCGACTTCGTATTTTGTACATATATAGGTTGAATAGAACCCTGATGTAGTATAGGCCACCGCACCTTACAAAGATATGCGTACCGTATAGGTGCTCGCAAATTTACAGAAATACAATCTTATGACGTTCAGTATAACTGTGCGTTGCTTGTGGGATCTTTCATAGCAAGTCAGTGAGTCATATTGAAATGCTGAGATTCTCTAATAAAGGTCAAATTGAATATTCATGCAAATATAGAAGATGTCACTGAGTCAAGACATAAAAGAATCAAAATATGATATTGGTCTGTATCCTAGATTTCCGGATGTTAATGTAGTAGAGTAAACTGGAACGATGCTTCGTTTATAAGTAGCCGTATATCTGCTATATAATTTAAGTTATGATAGTACAACGTATCATTGTGGGGCACATATATACACAGTATGTATATAGGCCTGTGAGTATATATATCCCTATATGAGTAAAGGAAGGAACTCCTGTACTTTATATATCTTGTTACGACGCCGTTAAAAATAGATATATATATATCTGTTCTCCAATTTACAGAAATATAATCTTACGAAAGTCATGATGGCTGGCTGAATATTATTGAGAGATATCTCATAATATAATCATATTGGTATAATGAGATATTTCAATATTTATATAAATATACAGACCTTCTCCGAGCCAATAAGGCCTTTATTTTGAAATGATTCTTTGATTTTATTTGGAAGCGGCTTATCGTATTGTGGTAGTAGAGCATATTACGGCAATACAAACACACAACAAACATATATACGGGTTTACATATTTATTTGCGTGCATATATAATCACAAGAGGCTCATATCTGTGCATTCATATATATATATAATATAATATATAATACTATATCTTCGTGAATAATAATATATATAAATATAATCTTATATAATATAAATCTATATGATATCAAGAAATGTAATACTCAAAAATCCAAGTCTCATGGTAGTCCACTCTCTAAACGAAAAAATTGTACTTATAAAAATTATTTGAATTATTCTTTAAAGGAACCGTTAACTCAATAAAATATGACTTCGCGAAATTTTCTTTATAATACCGCTAATTTTTTTCTACGAGAAAATATGAATTTAATTTATCACCACATTATTTCTCTTCTTAGTATTATTTCTAATATTAATATTAGCAATATGATAATACAAATAGCAGTATTATTAATTTTATTCATATTATTTTTTTATTAGTATTATTAAGATTATTAATATTCTTAGTATTCTTGGTAATAATAATTTTATTAATAGTATTCTTAGTATTAATAGTATTATTAATAATATTCTTAGTATTGTTAATATTATTATTAACTATTATTATTAGAATTAGTCATATTTTAGTATTATTCGTATTATTATTAAATAATATAATTTATTATAATAATAAAGATTATTATTATTACTT